AATTACGAGTTGGGGTATACGAGAGGTAAAAAAGTATACAATTTTTTGTCGATATTGGGATAAGATGTTTGAAAGGTATTTAAATTTCTTAAAAAACCAATAAAGTTTCATCGAAATCAGAGAGAGCACTATTAGTGACGATATCGCGAATTTAAATATTTTTGGTTTATTATTTTCAATAATATGAAACATTGTAATCCAACAAAGAACTTAACCCCTAATAGTTATTTAAAAGTTTACGGAATTTCCTAAAAAAACAAAAATAATTCGTTAAAATCGGACAATTAGGAGCAAAGATATGGACTGCTGTTGGACTCCAGGTCATATCCATTGTTTTTTGATTTTTGAATGTGTTACTGAAGTAATGCTAATTTTTTTAGCATGTTACTATAGATTAAAAAAAAATGTTTAGTCCAATAATTGGAATCACTTTTTATTTATTCTTTGTCACTAGGAAGGTAATGTTACTTTAGATGAATAACTGTTTGGAAATAATAAACCATTGTGAAATAATTTGCACATTTTTTTTTTTTTTTTTTTGCATTCACTAATAATTAGTGAACATGTGCATAACGAAATCTGGGATTCGATTCCGACACAGTGAATAATCCCCCTCTCCCAATCCTTTTTTGTTGTTTGTTGGCGTTTTCGGGATTATGTTCTCCAATTAAGGCAGTAATATTATGATTTTAATATTATATTGCGATTTTATATGTATCTTTATATAAAACTTAATCAGATTACATTGACGTTTTTAGTGGATAGTGCGGTTGGATACGTTGATAGGTTCTGTTTATCAATTTTCAACCATTACTTCCGCCTAGTCTTGCGTAAACTTATTTTCCTTGAAAAAATCCTATATGAAGGGGGCTTTACACATTTCCGAAATTCCAGAATCTCAAACAAAAATTAATTAACAAATAGGGTTTTTACGCATTTCTGTAATTCCATGACGGACGTGGGTATTGCACATTTGCCCTAACTTATCGTAATTTTTAAAATGAGGAGTAAAATTCGTCAAAGAAGAAGTTGTATGAAGAAAACTCATCTAAATTATAACAGATAAACATGAAATGTAACAGCAAAGTTAAATGTGTATAGTTCCCCTTTCGCTTACCCAAACTCCCTTTGATTTGGTTTGCGAAAACCGAGAGTGAGTGAACCACAAACATCGAAGCTCAAACTCCAGAGAAGAGAAACATCCCTTTTACAAATTCTTGTTTGTCCTTTTCGAATAATAAACGCTGTAAATTATTATACGATGGTTTATCATTTCCAATTAATTATATATTAAATATGTGTGACTTGTTTACTCTTCAAGTTGCTATCTCTTCAGGGAAAGTGCAGCATATGTTTACTTTCACTTACATGTATATGTAATATATAGTAAGATAAAGTATTGCTATCGTGAAAATGTTTGAATCTGAGTTATTTACGGAGATACACGTTTTGAGTTCCCCTGAGTCCAAATAACCAAGTCTCGCAAAATAGTCCGCGAGCAAATATATATATATATATATTAAAATAAATATCTGGATTACCCCAGTACCATAGGTTATAGATAATTTTAGAGTTATCAAAACGCATAATAAAGCTAAGGTTGTCTATTGGAACGAGTGCACTAGGGATGCCCAGAAAGGGTTTCATGGCGTGAGTTGTGCCATCAATATGTTTTTGGGGAGGGGGCACATAATGACGTAGTTTTGAATTTTTGAGGGGGGCATATTTCGATGAGGGTATGGATTTTCGAAATGTACATTTTCAAACCAAGGGGTCAAGAGAAAAGTGCAGAACAGATCTTAAAGTCTAATTGGATATTTAATAGATAACCGTTTCATTATAAAGGAAGGAGATGGTTAGTTATAAATATTACCCCGTATGCCAGAAATGGCCAGGTAGGGGGTAAAAAAAAAAAAAAAAAAAAAAAAAAAAAAAAAAAAAAAAAAAAAAAAAAGGTTAGTTATAAATAGGCTAAATAGTGGCAAAACTATTTTATTAAAAGCCAACGTTTCGATCCGACTTTGCAGGTCTTCTTCAGGGCTAGAACGGACAAGATACAAAAATATAGAGAATTGTGAAGTTACATCATATTTAGAAAAATTAAAAAAAAATAAAAATAATAAACAATGTGAATAAGCTTATTAAAATTATAAATAATAAGTACATTAAAATATAAATAGAGTAAGCTAAGTAACAAGGTCCTAAACTGGAGTAAATAGATAGTAACGTTTGTTACAGTGTAATATATAATAAATGCAACTGTAAATCTATAAAAAAAAAATTAAGACTTTCAGCAATTGCATTCTTGGTGCCCAACTTATTACACTTAATAAACAGTCATTAAGGCGCAAAACCCGATAAAAGTAAAAAAATATCAGTTCACTTGATCAATTAATGTTCATGCCACAGATACATACTCTGTCATCATCTAGTGGCTGTAAGATTTTTTTATTTCAATGGCTATGCTTTATAATAATTTTAAAACACTATTACTTTTGCTCTATATTCATAAATGATAGACATAGTATAAAGCTTCTAATCGGCCGACATTTTGAAACAAAATAGCGAATTGTAATGTCTGGTTCCAAGGATTATCTTGAAGTGATCTTTTACTTTTGTACCAAAACTAGAAAATAAAAAACGTAATAATAATTTTTCAGTATTCTTGTAGGAAGATGATAGCGGACGGATTTCTTTCAGATGCTACGTATCATTAAATATAAGAACCTCTCAAATTTTGAGGGGGTGTCAACTTTTTCATTATCGATTGCAAAGGTAGGTGTGTTATTTGAAAATAATGTACCAAAAAGAAATAAAGTAAATAATTACTGTTCTTGATGTAAAGGTTCTTATCTGAACAAAATGCTATGATATTAACCAGTAGCTCGTAGGTGGTCCATTATAGTAATTACTAAATGACCCAGCTTGGAATGAATTAATATTTCCTCCAGCTTGTGAGTCATTCCAGCGAATTTCCTTAGCCTACCTTATCACTGTTTGTATTTCATCGCGTTAGTACTACACGTTATCAATTATTATTTCTATAAAATTATTATTGTGTTCTCTTAAGGATTAGTTTCTTAAGTTAACTAATTTTTCTTGGGCGCTAATATTCTAGTTTCAACTTTTTTGTGAAGGCATAGGGTAATCGCACCAATGGTGGACATACTAATAAAATTGTTGTCATTTTTGGCTTATGGCACCGTAATTATTATAGTTATAAACTTCTCCGTAGGATATTTAGAATCCCTAGGGTCTCCTTTTTCTATTTAATACTTTAAAATTGAAAAAAAAAATTCAGTTATACATATGTAATCTCCATTAAAAAAAAAAAAAACGCTGCAAATTATTTCACAATGGTTTATTATTTCCAAACAATTAAACATCTAAAGTAACATTACCTTTCTACTTACAAAGAAAAATAAATAAAAGGTGATTCTAATTATTGGACTAAACTTCTTTTTTTTTATCATTAGTAATATGCTAAAAAAAAATAGCATTACTTCAGTGACACATTCAAAATTTAAAAACCAACTAAAGGATATTTGGAGTAGAACATTAAAAAAACTGGAGATCATATCTTCGATCCTAATTGTCCGATTTTAATGGGTTTTTTTTTTGTATTTTTAGGAAATTCCGTAAACTTTTAAAAAACTATATACAATATTAACAAATTTGAAAAAAAAATCGGTCCAGTAGTTTCGGAGAAAATGCACGGACGGCAGACGGACAAAAAAAATTTTTATTCGTTTTTCGAATTCTACTCATCCTGAAACGTGAAAACTCAAATTTTGAGAGGGGGTTAAGTTTTTGAATTTTTTACACGATCACAATGGTTGATTATTGAAAATAATAAACCAAAACACCTTTTTGCACTAGTGAAGGACACCCCGAAATTCAATTGTTCTAGTAATGGACAGGGGGTCGGTACCAGTAAAGGACATACTTCAGAAAAATTCTAAAATATTTATTTAACTATAAAGATAAGATAAGATAAATATTCTACTTACTCCTAGCAAAACTGTTAGTCGGAAGATATGAAACACATTGATCACAAGAGCACTATAGGAACAATGATAGGCATTTTAAAATTTTTTTTTTTTGGAAAATTTGTTCATACAGTTGTCAATAGAGGGCATTGTTGTTCAATCTAAAAAAAAAACTGGAACCTTTAAATCAACAAGGAAGTTTATTATTTACATTTAAAGTCCAACCTGTCAATCACTGTTGCGTTCACCCTAGTTGTGCAAATTAAAATTCTTGTGTTTTATGTATTTATTTAATGAAAAATGTCTATTATATTTATTTTGTATTAAATTTTATTTAATTCTAGATGCATACACTTTTGTTTTTTGTTATTGTTCTATTATAATTTTAAGCATCTTAATATTGTGTGTAGGAGAGGTATATTAGGAGGGGTAAAGAGAGAGAAGTGAGACAAAAGGGAAATTATATGTTTATAAAAAAAAGGAAACAAAAAAAAGCATGAACAATGAAAGAAAAATATATATATATACACATTTACTATACTCATATAAACTAACCACTGTATATTTATATATAAATTTATTCATTTCCTACCGATTAACGAGTATACTGTGTGTATAGCAATCCAATATAATTGGCAAGCTTTTATATTTGTATTTTATATGAAAATAAAGTATTTCTCTCTGTCTCTTTTGAAGATTTTTGAAACTAAAAGGGTAACATTATTTTAATGGTGAATTGTTTAAATAATTTATAAATTATAAAAGAAAATGATTTGTTAATCAATCAATCAATCAATCTTCTATCATACCTTTAAACATTTCAATTAACTTACGGTTTACGGGATACGATGAAAATACCTTTTCTGCTCGAAGTAGGGTGGTAAGTGAAAGTTATGGGATGCTTATTCCGCACCACATTTTTCCCTTATTTATTTCCCACATTTTTCCCCTTAGGATTATTAGGGAAATAATCCTTCCCTCAACTATATAACTGTTGTAAATAACATCTAGCATCGAGACCTAAGGTTCAATCTGTGGCAAGCTGTCCTCGACAAGAAGTGGATTGGCCTGGCCTTTGCCATAACCGCAGGCCAGATTGGACCCGGGACACACCGGGTGGTCTAAGGTCTAATAGCCTGTCTCTCATTGTAGAGTATCAACTCGACTGCCAGGTCTGCCCGCAACACCTTGCTATGGCCGGGCATCGTCTCAGAAAATATTCAGATTAATCCTCCATTTAAGCAATGGCTAATATACCACCCCTTTGCTAATATACCATATATATATATATATATATATATATATATATATATATATATATATATATATATAGTGTTGTTCAATCTAGAAAAAACTGGAACCTTTAAATCAACAAGGAAGCTTATTATTTATATTAAGGTACAATCTGTCAATTACTGGCACCCCTGTCCATAACTGGTGCCTTCACCTTAGTTGTGAAATTTAAAACTCTTGTGTTTTATGTATTTAATGAAAAATGTCTATTATATTTGTTTTAAATTAAATTTTGTTTAATTCTAGGTGTATACACTTTTGTTTTTTGTTATTGTTCTATTATAATTTTAAGCATCTTAATATTGTGTATAGGAGAGGTATATAAAGAGGGATAAAGAGAGAGAAGTGAGAGAAAGGGATAGTAAATGTTAAAAAAAAAAAAAAATATATATATATATATATATGACTTATATCTATCTATCTATATATATATATATATATATATATATATATATATATATATATATATATATATATATATAGATAGATAGATATAAGTCATAACAAAATTATTCGTGTATAAAACATTTTATTTATATTTCTGTATAAAATTCTTCGAAATATAGGTCAGTATTGTTCGGGAAGTCCATCCCCTCCCCCAGGGACAATGGCGTATCGCCTTTCTCCTCCTCCCACAAGAAAATTTATTAGAAGGAGTTGATCGGGGGGAAGGGTGGTCAAATAAATACTAAATTGTAGAAATAGTATTATTTAATTATAATGCCGACGTTTCGACTCACCTTGCAGGTCTTCATCTAGGCTACAAAATATAAAAGGTACATGGTGAAAATAAAATAAATTAATTATAAGTAGATATTAAATAAGTAAATGTTGTCTGATAAAGAAATAATGAGATGATATCTCGTTATATGTTTACCTACATTTATCAAATATAACCTCCACTAGCTTGTTATCCACTGATATCTTATTGTTATGTTATCTTATTCTTATTTTAGCTTTACTATATCAATACTTATTCAATTTGCAATGTCTTTATTCTTTAACATTCATTATCTTTATCTGTTAACCTACAATTATCTAATGTAATCTTTATTAGTTTGTTATACACTCATTTCTTATCTTTTATCACAATCTGTTTACTTTTAACTTATATGCTATATTCTCCTTTGTTTTCTATTTTTATTCATACTTATTTTCTATTTTTGTTTGCATCTTCTATGTATATAATACTTGATATTTTAGCTACATTGTCACCCACTATATCTCTGATATCATATTATTTCTTCATCAGACAACCTATATTTTGTAGCCCTGATGAAGACCTGCAAAGTGGGTCAAAACGTCGGTATTATAATTGAATAATACTATTTCTATAATTTAGTATTTATTCGACCGCACCCCCCCTCCTAATCAACTCCTTCTCATATTATACAACCATCTCTACATCATAAAAATTGTAGTTTAGTTTTTCTGTTATTTGAGAGTTCTCTCCGATTAGTTACCAGTAAAAATATAATTTTCTCCAAAAAAATCTTTACTTTATAAATATATGTACTCTCGAAAATTTGAATGGTGGAACTTGCGCCATGCGACCCCTTTCATGGCATCCCTGATCATTGTCAATTATGTTAACATCGATTTCTGCAAGAAGTTAAATTTTGTGGTAATACCAGTCCTCGATTTTCGAGATGAAAAAGTCCTAACCTCCTGATTTTGCATTCCCCTAATTTTCGAGGTGCTGTCATATAAAAAAATGTTGTCCATTGGCTGGAAAAGACCAGTCAGACGATAACACGATATGTTAATTTCCAGATTCTTCACCAAACGTTACCAACCATCGGCTTAGCCAAGTACTGGTATTTTACCACCCATATTAAAACCTATTTCGGTACCATTCCCTTTCTAAACTGGTGAATGGTAGCTCAGTGAGTTAGGAACTATGGCTCCCTTCTTATGTGCCCAAAATTGAGTTCAGTAGTGACAATAGATTATAACACTCATGTGGCACACTCAGCCTCTATAAAGTGGGTAATCTTGAGGGGAAGAAGTTGGCGGTTGAGCATGATCATGACCAAACCAGATTCCCATTGCATTTGCGTACTTGATCATTTACAGCTAGACATGGCCTTGCATAATCTTTGATCTATAAACAGTACACTTCCTGAAATAAAATGATTTCGTGGATTGTTGTATCATTAAAGAATTCTGGATTTAACTTTAGAGGCTAATCTTTTTGTTAATTTCTTTAAAATTCTATATTATTTATCGCACCTTATTGTCAATTTATTATATTATATTATGTGATTCCATCGTTTTGAGTTGACACCACAGACGGATTTACGGGGAGGGGATTTCGGGCTGAAGCCTCCCTTCCCCCCCAAAACGATAAAATATAACCATGTTTTATAGAAAAAAATATTAAAAACTCTCTTTAAAGTATTATTATTCGTTTAATTACATTTAAAAAGACTTCAAGAATCACTGAAACACCATTACATATAGGTAGTTCATTTCTTTCTTTTTTTTTCAAATTAATTATCGTTATATATATGAAAACAAAATTTTCGGGCTGAAGCCCTCCCCCTAAAATTAAATCCTGGATCCGCTAATGGTTAACACATTAGTTCACTAAAATAAGCATTGTGATACGGAAGTTTTACCAGACCGCGTCTCTCAACGCTAAACATTTCATATGAATAATTCACGACGCTTTGCCATAAGGGAAAAATAAAATAAAAGTGTGATAGAAGTAACCGCAAGAATGCGGGTTAAAGTTTATTGCCTTCCTTAACTTCCTTCTGAGCCAATTGACCGAAGAGAAACCACAAGAAGGAGGATATATTTAGAACAAAGAGGGTCTTTGCCTTCTAGATCGTAAATATAGACAATGGCAAGCAATATATTTAGGCTCGGCTGTACTTCCTGTCCTAACCAGGTCGCCTGGACATAATGTGGGGGGGGGAGGAGAGTCGAACTTTACTGGACAAACTTTTGTTCGGTTTATTTTCTTCTTTTTTTTTTATTTTCTTTGTTCTATGAGCATTCTCTATACTTATTTATAGCAAGATTTATTATTATGTTGTTTTTGGTTTATTATTTTCAATAATCAACCTTTGCAATAGATCAAAAAAAAAAAAAAAAGTTGTCCCCCATCAAAATTTGAGGTTTTACGTTTCAAGATATGTAGAATTCGAAAATTGAATAAAAAAAATCCGTCGATCCGCGGCTTTTCTCCGAGGATACTGGACCGATTGTTATGGGATTTGGTTTCAATGTTAAAGGGCACTCGAACATGAGCTTAGGAACTCGGCATTACCATCCGCTCTCTTTACTTTCAAAATTAAGGCCAAATGTTTTTCAATGTAACATATTTAAACGAAAACAGTTATTACTTTTTTTCATCCCTTCTTAGCCTTTTAAGCCAAACGGTTTTTTTTTCTCGGGGTAGGGATTAGTTTCACAGTTAAAAAGCTCCCCCGGCACCGGGTTGTTCTAGAGATACAATCAACAGGGGTGCTCATAAGAGAGTTTCATGGGGTAAGTTGCGCCATCAAAATTTTTGAGGGGGGCACATTATGACTTTTCGGAATGATAAGTTTCATACTAAGGGACAAGGTGAAATCATGAAACAGACCGCAGCAAGTGTAATTGTATATGATCTACGATTGTTCTAATTATACCTACACATGCTCTGTTTTTAAGAAAAAGTGTGCAATAAAATATCTTGGGAGTGGGAGAAAGGGGAGAGGTAGGTTCTTCCGCCATTGACCTTGGGGGAATGGGCACCCTCTGCAACCAAAACTATTTTAACTATAGAAAGAAGGTCGAGATTCATTCGGTAGTCTATTACGAAATCTGTTTCATCCCGCCCGAATTATCAATTGTATTTTGACGTGATGGCGTGTTAGGGAGGCGCAAAAGAAAAAAAATAGTGACGAAAACCAAATGATAACGAGCTTCATTGAAGATATGGATTAAAATATTCCAGTAACTAAGAATCGGACCTGTATACTGTAAGCGAGGGAAATTGTTCAGCATTTCATCATCCTCTCTGTAATGGGATATTATGCAAAATTGTTTCTTTAGATAGATAGATAGAAAATAACTTTATTCTGGGACACAGTCCCTTGAGAATAACAAAATAGAACAAAATTAAAAGATTACATCTGGCCAAAATAAAATCAATAGAAAAAAAAAAATAATGTAAAGAAAATATAGATAGATAGAAAAAAAAACTTTATTCTGGGACTAAGTCCCTTCAGAATAACAATAATGTACAAAATAATAGAATATTACTGGCCTAAACGTTTGAAACAATAAATAAAATTGATAAAATAAAATAAAAAGTAAAGAAAACATTAGGTGCACAAGCTATATACAATACAGATAACACTATGTACAGAGCATTTAAAATTATGAACAAAACAATTAAAACTATGAACGAATCACTTGAACTATGAACAAAATTATATATAAGGGTTGAACAACATAAACATACACTTTGAGAAATGAAGAACGAAAAAGAGATACAATGAGTTCATTTCATAAAATAAAAAAATACTAAATATATTATATATATATATATATATATATATATATATATATATATATATATATATATATATATAAATAAATAAACAGTTAATTATAATTGAATAAAAAAAAATGTATGTATTGAAATTCCTATGTCGATAGTAGGAAATGCATGTACTATCTCTTACCAAGTATTATGATTATATGATTGCTACTCAATACATATATAATATTAATAGTTAGCTGGTATCTGACTGTTTTTGGAACAGGAAATGGTATAAGGTAAACATTCTATATACGAAACAAACGAAACTATATACAAAACAGTTAACACTATGACAAGACACTTAAAGCACTAGTAGACACTTAAAGACCAGTATACACTTTTAAGAAAACAATAAAGAATTAAAAAATAAAAATATATTAAATTCTTTATTAAAAT